GCTGCTCCCCGTATTAAAACCCTTCCTCTGCTTTTTCAAATCAAACGACCATTTTCTTTTTTTTTAATATTTTTCTTTTCCTGAATATTAAGCTTTTTAAATTTTTTTTTCCACGTTTATTTATTTATTTTTGGGACAGAGAGAGACAGAGCATGAACGGGGGAGGGGCAGAGAGAGAGGGAGACACAGAATCGGAAACAGGCTCCAGGCTCCGAGCCATCAGCCCAGAGCCTGACGCGGGGCTCGAACTCACGGACCGCGAGATCGTGACCTGGCTGAAGTCGGACGCTTAACCGACTGCGCCACCCAGGCGCCCCTCAAATGACCATTTTCTACGCTCCCCTTAGAATATTAAGACTGGAAGAAATGTCGAAGGAAAGAAAGAAAGAAAAAGAAAGGAAGGAAGAAAGAAAGAAAGAAAGAGGAAGGCAATCCCTCTGAGACCTTTTTTTTTTTTTTTTTTTTTTTTTTTTTTTTTTTTTTTTTTTTACTAAGGCTTTCTCCTCTCGGTTTAGTCTCTTTCCCTTTGAGAATTTGGGGTACCACACTCAAACAGAATTTCTCAACCTTTGTTTTTCAATTTTTTCTTCCTTTAGAAAAATAACAAAATAGATTTGGTTCTGCATAGTCTCTCCAGTCAAGGGTATTTTGTGATACAAAATTAATATCCTGTCCCAAGCCCCAAACAAGGTGAGATCAAGGGAAGTTTTTTCATTACAATTCAACCAGAAATGGGCTTTGGGATCAGGTGATGTTTTTCATCTGCAGCTGTGGTGGCAATGTGAGCAGATAGCTATAGCCTCCAAGGCCTCCAGGTGTCAGTGAGTGATCCAGTTTGCTCACATGAGAACTTCTGTCCAGTAAACTCATGCATGCTTTGTGGATCAGGAGAGGCAAATGGAAGATCTCCCACCAGGCATTTTGAATAATAGCAGGTGTTCCCTAGGAATCTAGGAAACCTTGTCTCATTAGGGACTGTGATCACTTCCCAATTCACCTGTTCATTGAAAGCAACAAATAATGCCAACCTCATTTTGTGTTTTGTATGCACATAATTAAAAAGGCAGAAAGGAAAAATAACCAAAATGACCAGTGACATTTTAAAGACTAATTTGTATGTTGTATCAGTCAGGGTTCAGTCACAGAGAAGAGAATCCATTCAAGGTATTTAATTTAAAAAGGATTTGTTGCAGGCTTTTACATGAGGCACCTAATCAGTGGGAAGGCTTAAAGAACACACACTAGGAGGAGCTTCCAAGAACAAATTCCAAAACCACAATGTAGAACCTGGCCACCATTGAAACGTTCTCTTGTCACAACTTAGAAGCCATCTGCTAAACTGGGCAGTTGTTAGCCCAGCCGCTGGCTTCAGAATCATGTCATGATGTTACAGTCTGCCCAGCAAAATCAACCTCTCAAGCCTGGCCTCTCTTTCCACTTAAAACTCAGTTTCAAATTCTACTGTCCTGCCAGTGCTTCTGTTTGGCAGAGCCTAATGCACACCCAGAGCTCTGGAGCAAGAAGATCTGGGCAAAGAAGTATTTGCTTTCCAGACTGCAATGGAGTGAGGAATTCTGAAACAAGGTTGGAAGATGTACTGAGTAAGCCAATCACAATATTCACCACAAATATTAAACTGTATTGAAGCTGAGCAAATAAAAAAATAATTATGAGGAAGCCTCAAGTAATTTCGAATATTTTATGGACAAAAAATAATTATTGTAAAATTGATTGTAAATCTAACTTATAAGAGGCATGGAGCACTTGGAAGTGTGATGTATGTTTGCCTCTGTGACAAACACTTTGCCAAGCATCAAGTGTTACACTTTGCTACCTTTGAAATGTCTCTAGGGGCTTTTCTTTCCCACTTTTGTCTGTTCAGCACCCATTCTTTTCCTCCTTCTGGTAAATTCATAGTCACATGACTCAGTCTTAGTCTAGGATGAACATAGCAACCCCATTCTCTGGCCACAGTGACTGGTCCAAGTGACCGAGGCTGGCTGGGTCTGAGAACCCAGAGGGCATCCCACAGGACGGGCCAACAGAGTCCTTGTCTTCACGCAGAATAGAAATCAAATGCAAGCCAGGAGGAAGTGAGAGCAGAGTTTACTGAGGATATGGAGAGGGTATAGATATAGACAGAGCATTTTGAAGATTCAGAAAGGAAAGAAGAGTGAGTCTCGTCTTTGCTTGAGGTCTAGGGTTTTTATTGAGAATTGTGGTCTGGTGTAGGTGTCCTCTCAGGCACCTAGGAACTGGTCAAAACAAGGTTGCAAGTGCTCAAGTGTCCTACATGAATCATTTACCCCCTGGAGCCAAGGGTCTTGGCGTCAAGGTGTCTGGAAAACATAAATGATGACCTCACCTAGTCACTCCTTAGATGCTATCTATTGTGCTGGAAGACTCCAAAAAAAAAAAAAAAAAATCATTAACTCCTTGACCCTTACAAGGAGGAGATACACTGTACTTACTATAAGGCATGTGTAAGGTGGGGGTGCAGGAAGAAAAGCAGGAAAAGGAGCAAAAACAGCAGTTCTTCATGGAGTCCTACAGTTTCCCTGTCTCACAAGGATTGGCACATGACAAAAGCCAGGACATTCAGAGGCTTTGCCCAGCATTATTCTGGCTGATGCTAGCCGAGAAGCCTCTTTTTTTCCCTTTTTCTTTGTGAGCCCAATGCTGTAAGAATATGGCCTTAGAGTTCCTGGCCAAATTCCCACTGTGGGGCATTGCCTATGAATATGAAACCCACACAAAAGAGGGAAAGAAGAAATTAGAGGCAGAGTTTGAGAGATTCCTTTGTTGTGCAGATTTTCTGATTTCACCCTCTCGGCATGAAACTACCTCCTTCCTGAGGCTAGTTCTTCAGTTTTGTGGGCCATCCCACATCTTTCCAATAAAGCAGCCGTTTTGGATTAAGGTTGGTTGAATTGGGTATCAGCTGCATGCAATTTTAAGACAGCAAACAAATCATAGTCTCAATTTTATAACCCACTAACTCCACTACTCACTTGAAGGAAGGTAGCGTAGTGTCTTTTGTGTCCCGTGGGAAACGTGAGATTTTTTTTTTTTTTCTTTGCTTCCCATACATTGTTTGAAGTTGATTAATCCAAATTCCAATGAAGCCTAAACCTGAACTACATTTCTAATCAACCAACTTGATGTAAGTAATTTTGATAATGTCACTCAATTTCAGATAAGCATCGTCTAAGAACAACTCCATTTTTTCAAAGATTCATTGATAAAGCTGGGACAGCACAATCACCCAGTCTTTACAATTGCTTGCTGTGTACTCTGGAGAGCCCCGGAAATTTCCCTGGCAATGGGAAGCAGCCAAAGGAAAAGTACTGTGACCCCAGGAAGGGAGGAGAGCCTATGGCTCCATGGCACAGGCTTTGTAAGTTTTGGAGTGTGTATATGTGACAGAGAGAGGGGGAAAAAAGGGAATCAAAACTTTTCCTACCAATAACACGTATT